TAACAAGCGAGCATTCCTGTTTGGCAATTCTAGAAAGGAAAAAAACAACAGTTTTTTATTATTTCCTCTCAAAAGTGGACTGTCATTTTCTCTTCCTCAGAGCATTGTACTTATGATAATCCTTGCTATCCAACAGAAGAGATGTACAAGTGGCTTGTAACCCAATAGACAAGATCTGGAAAAAGCCCCGGTGCCCATCAGTAGATGAGTAGATAGAAAAGCTGTGATACTTTTACACTGTGGAATACTATGCAGCTGTAAAATAAAAAGGAAATCTTACCTTGTGCGACAGCTTGGATGGAGCTGGAGGGTATTATGCTGAGTGAAATAAGCCAGTCAGAGAAAGACAAATACCATATGATCTCACTTCTATGTGGAATATATGAACCAAATAAACCGACGAATAAAATAGAAACAGAGGCATGGATATGTGGGTCAGACTGACAGCTGTCAGAGGGGAGGGGTGTTGTGGGGCTGGGTGAAAGAAGGTGAAGGGATGGATATATATATATATCTCAATATCATAAACACAGACAACACTGTGGTGATAGCCAGAGGGAAGGGGGCTGGGAGTAGGTGGAAGTGGGCAAAGAGGTGATAAATGGAGTGGAAAGAGACTTTGCTTTAGCCCTAGCTGGGTAGCTCAGTCAGTTAGAACATCATCCTGATACAACAAGGTTGTGGGTTTGATCCTCAGTCGGGGCACATACGAGAATCAACCAGTGAATGCATATATAAGTACAACAACAAAGTGATGATTTATCTCTCTCCTTCCCTCCCTCTCACTCTCTAAGTAATTAATTTAAATTATTTTTATAATGAGACTTTGCTTTGAGCGATAGGCACATGATGCAGTGTGCAGATGACTGTTTGTTGAGTTGTACACTTGAAACCTGTACGGTTTTGTGAACCAATGTCACCCCAATAAATTCAATAAAAAAATAAATTGCTTGTAACCAACAAATTAGAATAGGAGCAGCACATATGTATGTTCATATATACACACATATATTGTACAAATATACATAGATATTTATGCAGTAAATAGAGTTTAAAATGAGAATTTTTACTTAATCACAAATTGGAAACTTAAAAAACATTCTTTTCCTTTAAAATCACAAGCTCAAAATGACATATGAATAGGAAGAAGACCATTAATAATGAGTTATTTTATTCATCTGACTCGGTAAATTTTTTATATGTAAAAGGTACATATTGTCAGGGTTGAGACAGACACTGGAAAAGTACTGCTTAGGGAAGTACCATTGATGTCAACATAGTAAGCAGTTTGGCAGAGTCAAAATTTTTCCTAAGGGGAGTTTCCTAAATAATGGCTCAGCTACTACCTCTCATTATTAGAATAGCATGTAATGATTTCTTAGCTCAGACTCTAGATGATATTGGTTTCTGGGGAGTAAGTTTTCATATCCCTGGATCTCTACAAGTTATGAAAAATTACCTCACCTGGAAAACAATGACCTAAAGGAGTGAAGGAAACCATAAGTAATTATAAATAGTTCATTATGTCAACATGCACCAAAAGAAACTGTTCTCTCTCTGAAATCCATGACAAGAGGACTCTATGGACACTGAAACAGAGCCTACTAACCACAGGTCTGGGGAGCAGAGTCTTATTAGATTTGAACCTCCTACTGCCCTTGCTGGAACCATACTTCCTAGCTGGTCCAGCACCTAGGGCTGCCGTTCACTTCCATTTTATGAAATAACATATTGGGGTCATCTTCACATAAGTTAACTAAGTGATTTATTGTCCAAAATGGAGCAGTAAGCATACACTCCGACTGCCGTTACATCCCCTATCCACAGGGGAGAGCGTGGCTGTGTAACGCTCCTGATTCAGCACGTAAAAATGAAGCAGGTACAAATGGAGAAAGAGACAGAGAGAATGAATACATTGCACCAAGGTCAGCCCGGAAAGGGGAAAAGAACACAAAGAGCACAAAGTCACTAGATGGTTATGAAGAAGGAGAAGGGGCTGCTTTATTTACTGACTCGGTGACGAGAAGGGATGAACATGGATTGTATCTGAGCCTCGAGGTGCTTGTTTAATGCCAGTGGATAGCCTCTCCACACCACCCAGGCAGCATAGACTAGTATACGTACTATATATGGTATAGTCTATCTACATGCAAATATATAACACTTGACTAGAACTAATGTATCCTCCAAATCTGCATTTTTCCATACCTGATTTAAATGATTTTAAAATCATAATTGGCTACAAGATTGAACATATGTGTGTTTATTTATATATTGTGTGTATATGTACGGGATTTCCTATAAATACACATATGAATATATCCAGTGCTAACTTAGATTTTCAAAATCATTTAAGTCAACCTGGGGAAAATCTACTATAATGTATTCAGATATGGTTACCTGTTAAATTCTACTTACTGATACATCATATTTTCTTGATATTAAGATGTAATCTAACTTGAGAATCACTTTCAATTGCAGGGGGGAAATACATGTTAAACATCAACATTGATTATAAATGCTATCCCAGTTTTAGAAATAGAATAAAATAACTTGACATTGAAAAAGTATAACCATAGGGTTGGGTGCTTTAAAAGAAGAAGTATCCAAAAATAAGAGAACTCTCTAAAGAAATTATGTGGAAGATTTTAACACATTGTTTGCGGGTAGTTTTTATCACGCGCTAACAGGTGGCGCGGGCACGTATAATTACGTAAAACGTATAAATACGTTTCCCGCATACAATGTGTTTTAATAAATAATGAGAGCTAACAGCTTAACTGATATGGTTCAAATTAGGACTTGCAGTCTGGGTACCAGTGGCCTCTAGATGTTAAATCAAGCAGTAAATTGTGTGTGCGAGCACACACAGACACATAGAATAAACATATTATGGTTTATTATTTGTCCTAATCCTTACTATAGGGATCACAAATTACTCACATTAGAGTTATTTCTAAGCAAGCCAGGAATGATATAGTATATATGACCCATAAGTTTTCATGGCAAATAGGAACAAATATATAAAATCCTAGAGATATATGACCCATAACACATTACAGAGCATCGATTTCCCAGAGGCTAATATAAAACTGATGTACCCAATAACAGGTCTATTTTCATTCTCTCCTATAACTCAAATCTATTCATGCTACACAATTACTTTTGCATATTACCATAGTGTAGTTACATGAGCTATTTCATCTGTAAAACCTGGAATTCTTACGTTAAATGAGCACCTTTGGAAGCATCCTATTATTTTCTTTATGATCTTTCAATCACCTTAATTATTTTTTTAAAGTGTATAATGTCTTTTATTCACATATCAGATAACTGCATGCTTCAAATTTAAAAATCCACATAAAAATAAAGTTACTCAGGAATTTAATTTGATGAACTGAATTACATTTCTGTCTCCAAGGACTAAGCCCTGAACACCTGATACATTAAAATGTTCATATTAAAAATAAACAAACTCAAAAGAAGTGAATACTATTATTTAAGAGAAAACAGAAATATTTGCTAACCCAGTTTTTACTGAAGAAAAAATAAATATGAGTAGAAGAGTAGGAATGGAATAAGAAGAGACAAAGAGGTTTCTTATACATGGAGAAAATGATCAATAAAAGAATAACACCTATACATTATATTTTACTTAGTTTTGGGCTCTAATCTCAGCTGAAATCAGAAAGGAATACAGTCTGAAGTACTTAAACAGAAATATATTTCATCCACTCACAAAGCAAGAGCGGCAGAAGATTTTATCCAAGGCAATTAGACATCATGATTTAGTAATTAGGATAGTAAACAGAGATCAAGGCTGAGTAGAAAAATCTACTATAATGATGTATTCAAATATGGTTACCTGTTAAATTCTACTCACTGATACATCGTATTTTCTAGATACTAAGATGTAATCTAAGAATCACTTTCAATTGCAAATCTGCCTACGTTTTAGGACAAGTTTCTGTCTTATTGAAAAACATGAGAATAATCTCTAAACGTTCACATCTGACATTTCAGACTACCCTTTGTCTGTAACATGTATGTTTCCTTCTGTCACACTGGTCACTCCGGCCCTTTTCCTGCTATCTTTAGATCTTGCATTTTTCTCTAAACTTCAGTGAGCAAGGGGATCCCTTCCTGATGTATACCACTGGTTCCTTCAAACTAGCATCATCCTTTCATGCTTTTTAGACCTTCATAGGAGTCACAGATACTTCCTGGGAGTTCTCTAAACCTAAATTTTAGATATATGGACCAAACCACAGACATTAATGTTTCAAAGAATTCTCATGGTGAAATAAATTTTTAAGAAGTTACTGACACAGACAATAATAGTGCAGTGAAGGACAGAGGGGATGCGGGACAGAGGGGGGTAATAGGGAGAACAAAGGGGACATCTGTAATACTTTCAACAATAAAGATAAATAAGAGAAAACGAAGTTATTGAGTAAGAGGAGCCAGAATGACTTGCATGGACAATTCTCTTCTGCTGTGGTTTTCAAGTGTGCTTGTGGATTAACAGCACCCGCATCATATGGGAATTTGTAAAATGCAAATTCCAGGTTCTGCCTCTGACCAACTGGAACAGAAACTCCTGGGATGGAGATTGGGGGGTGGGGGAAGGAGGGGTTTGGCTTTCCACACATAACCAAGTAATAGTTTTCTTAGTTCTGACTAAAGCCACAATTTTACCCCAGTGAGGAAAAGCATTTTTCTGACTCTCTCAATGAAGATGTTAGCATTTTCAGAAACACTTAGGTTACTATTTGTCTGGAGGTTCTAGATAAGAATTGGACGGCTTCATCCCAGACTTTAAAACTGTCACACTGTGCTGACAATGATAAGAACAAGGGACATTAGTGGGGTAGCATGGGGACACCTGAGCCACATAACCATAGAGATCAGTCAGGGGAGCACTTTCACAGTCCTCAGATCTTGTCCCCAAAGTGGTCTATCTTTTTATAACTGCCTTTTCTCGTGTCATTTTTCCCCAGATTCCTTTATCGATGAATGTGTCAACCTTCCTGGCATACGACCAGCCCACAATAAGTTACTGTGGGGTGCATCATGAACTTCTCTCTCATAAGTCCTTTGAAACGACTGCACAGGAAGACACGATGGAAACGCACCTAGAGACTGAGCTGGATCTGAGCACAATCACGGCCGCTGGCCGCATCAGTGATCATAAACAGCATCTGGCTTAACTGCGCTACAGGGTGGCCGAGGGCGGCCCCCAAACTGTAACCTCAAGGACAAAATGAGGAAGATTTGTTTGGTGTGGACTCTAAAAACGAAACAAAAAAAAATCCCCTGTTAAAAATCCAAGATTGATTCATGAAATAAAGAAGACATTAATTGTTTCAAGTCTATACTTTGTAATTAGCTAAGTTGTGCAGTATTTTTTTTTACTTAAACAGAGTATTTCCCTGAAAGAAAAAAAAAAATCTTTTTCCTCCTAAACTCATCCTACCTATCTGTAAAAACTGTACAGAGCTAATGTATTTTTCATATTGTAAAATTTCAATTATACAAACGACTGGTATGGACAGTACCATAATTTAATTACAGTTTACTTTACAAACTTTACACATTTCCGTTTCTAAAATTTTAAATTAACAAGAAATTATTTCCTGTGTTATTCAGAGTTACTCCGTTTTGTAGGGACCGTTTTGTTACTGCTTTTGTGCCCAGAAACCTTGACTAAAATCCTGTGCTGTGAGGAACATGCACGATTTTTATCATGCTTACTGCGTAGAATTTTATCTACTTGTTCCAGAAATAATACATTAACCAAAAAGGGTTTAATTGTTGAGACTTGTTAAGAAGTTCTTCAATTACATAGCCAGGTTTTTCTTATAAATGGAAAAAAAAAATCAAAGATTTTTTTTAACACTTCTTCTTCACAGACTTAACTGTTGCCTTGAATTACAGCCTAGTTTCTAAGCAGTGAAATGTAATGATAAAGAGGGATATTTTAACAACATATTTCTGAATGAATGACTCATTATTTCATTCTTTGGAGTAACCCATTGTTAAGGGTGGAAGGGGAAGCATGGACAAAACATCACTGGAAACAAAGGCCGTAACCACAGCAACAGTCTTTGATACATTAAAAAGGTGCAGCTGTCAGTGACAAACAAAAACTTGTTACGCGTCTTATTTTCAGGCCAAGGTGGATACATGTACAGTAGCAATTTTTCTCCTATTTAACCCGAAGTGGTTTACTTAAAAATAATCATCAGTCACAGCAAAATGTGGCTGGTTTTTACGACAACTTCTCATTTAGAAATGTGAGGCTATATTTTTGGGAACATTTCAAAGAAAATACAGGAATTTTTAATCTGTGTGTGCCACATCAGTTCTCTCCTGGGGAAGGAGCCTAAACATCTACAGCTCATTCAATATAGATTTGAGCCTTGGTGGAGAACTTGATCTAAATGCAAGTAGACTATCAACATCCCAATATGTTCTAAATTGTTTATATTACCATCATAATGAGATTCACCTCCAGATTACCTGAAAAATAACCCAGAGTAATTTGAAACCTCCCCAGAGCATATGTTGATTATAAAATTGTATTACATAGTTAATTCAAATCAAATTGTGAATACCTGACCTTTTAGATGCTGAAATAATCAACTTGTTTCTGGTATTTGCTTGACACAGGTTACTGTTTGAAAATATTTCTATTTTATCTGTGGTAGTCACACATTCTTTTGTGTGTTTTTAAATATAAAACTAAGTTTCCATTGTTGTTGCACTAGGAGAAGTGCTTTCTTATGTTGTCATTTTCTAATTATGACATCAAAAATAGGTTGAAAATATGTCAATCTTACAGGGGGTCAAACAATCAAAAACAATGAAGACAACAATTTGTGAAATCAATGTCCAACGTTTAATTTTTTTTATTTCTTCCAAAGAAATCATATCTACAAAAGTCTAGTTTTATCATGGCAAATTTAAGAGAAACTTCCAGAAGAACCAACTTTAAAAAATATATAGAGCAAATTTTTGCTAAAAATATACAAAGTCAGAAAGAAAAAAACAAAATGTGGAAAGAGGCAAACTCTCTTACTAATTTAAAGCAAACTTAATGTTACAGTACTTGTAACATATTTACTTAACATATTTTATAACATAGTTTGCATAAATTATTTGCTATTCAAAATTTTTTTGTCATTTTAAGTCAAATTTTAATCTTTAGTTTTTCTAATTTTTAGTTTCCTTGCAGAGTATTCTTAATTCTCTAAATTCAGAAATTGCTTTGCACAGTTAGCAAATTTATATAGAGTTAATTATAATTATTTGTGTGTCTACAATCAAATGCCAAATTTTATTTACAATGTAAATCAAAATGTCATTTGTAAATTTCCTCATTAGAAGTTGGCCTTGCAAATATCCAAGCATCATTTAATTTCCAGACATTTTCAAATTGATAAATGACTTTAAAAAATTTTAGGTTCCAGGGAGCCTCACAGATATATGCCATTTATTTTTTGAAGCAAACCACTTTCTTTCAACAGTTTAAGTTCATCTAAAGTGAACAACTTGAATAGAAGCAGTCACCTTGGAACCCTAGCTCTGTGCATCTGAGGACTTACTATAGTAAGAACCAACTAAACTGAGAATTTTAAGATTTCTCATATTTGAAATTAAAGGATCTTTAACACGGAGGAGGAGGAGGAGGAGGAGGAGGAGGAGGAGGAGGAGGAGGAGGAGGAGGAGGAGGAGGAGGAGGAGGAGGAGGAGGAGGAGGAGGAGGAGGAGAAAGCAGCAACAGCAGCTGGGTTATTTGTCTGCTTCATTTTTATACTGCCATGTCCAGGGGTAGGGGTAGTGGAAGTAAAGACCTGCTAGAGGACATTGTGTCTGGAATCATGATCATATATTTACAATTTATATATTTGTGTCTGAAATCTTTATTTCTAAACTATCTTTTTCATATTCGATAATCTTCCTAACCACTCTGTTCCCATGCCTCCCTTCCTGTCGATGCTCACCTATTTAAACAACTGAAATGTTTATGTAGTTGGAGTTGAAAAACACAGAATTTGACCCAACATGGTTATAATAACAGCAATAGCTGTGGGCTGTGGCAAACAATAAAGTTATGCAGTGTTTTGAGGTTTACAACCACATTTCACATAAATCTTCTCATTTTGTCTTCATAACCACCCTATGAAGACACATTAATTAATCTCAAAGAAGACTCGCCCAAGACACACGGCTAATAAATGGTAGAATTGAATCATTCTCAAAATTCAGAGCCTGTTAGTTTCTCCACTATACTAATATAAGCCTGCTCAGAGCCAGAGATATTAAGCAGAATGAAAAAAAAATTTAACATGTTGTTCAGTAATCTCTAATCTAATTCAGTTCCTCTATCTGTATAACACATGTACTAAATGAAATTTTCTGTGTGCTACTCTGGGCTCTCACATTCCCAGTAAAACTCTTTGTTCAAAAAGTATAGCAAGTCATAGATTTCTTAACATACCATATCACCTGTAAGGATGCAGCACAGTTACTTACAGGAAGTGGATGTTTATTGGCCCCAAGGTACAGACATAAAATCGAGAAGCACAAGCAAAGAAACCAAAGACCATCTAAATTCAGATTGCTTGGGTGGTTATAAAACAGATCCACAGCGAGAAATTTTACACATATTCAACTGAACACGTATTCAATTCAGAGCTAATTTGGAAGACCTTCATAATTTTTTTGTTTATTTGTTTCAGCAAGAGTACTTCTTGAACCATGAATTCTTATACTTGTTTCAAGAGAAAACAGTTTTTTCTATTCTCCTTTTAATAAAAAAATAAACTGCAATTTATCCAAACTGATGTACAGATGCTAAAACATGCTAATAGGCAAATAATATTTTACTAATCAGCTCTTTTTTTATCGAGTCTCTATTGCTACTCCCTCCTGAATGTTAGAGAATCATAAAACCATACGGATTTTAATATAAATTCTATTTTTAAAGGAAAGAAAGTTTGTTCACATTTAACATTTAAGACAACTGACATAATCTTGATTTTATCAGTCTGGCTTCCCAAACAGCTAAGAAATAGCCAAACCTTTTTGCAGAAATATTTTCTAAAATAAAATCACCGTGTATGAGAGTAAGACATATATTTGTTTTTTGTCTGCTCCTGACTAAAAAGCCGATATCATCTCTCAAACTAAACATTCAGAATAAGTAAAGACATTGAAAGCATAATGATAGGTGCTGGTGTGAACTATCTGGAAGCTGGAAAAAGAAAATCAGATGTGCTGAGTAGATGGCAGCACATCAAGGGAAAGGAAATGGACTGGCAGATACTTGGTTTCAGGAAAGATAGAGGTGAGAAATCTCGCGAGTGGTACATCCTATCACTGGCATAGCTCTTAACAGTTTATCACTCTGGGTAATAAATAGCATAACAATCTGGTAACACAAAAAAAGTGGCAGGTCCTGATGGGTTCCTTATGCAGTAAGCACCCAGAGGAGTTGGTCTGGCAGTAAGAAAGACCTTACCTTCTCAACTCACCACAGCTGTTTCTAACAAGAGAAGTACCAAGAGCAGGGGTCCCGGATCAATGCTTTCAAAACCCTGACATACCCGCTAAGGTAGACTGACAATAAGCAACTGGGCTTCATTTCACAACAACTCTAATAGGAAAAAAATATTTGAAAATTAAAAAGTAAAAAATACCAGAGTGGTGATTGGTTATTGTTAGAGGTCTCTGGTGGCTGGCATTATTTTATTGTGAGAGGAGACTGCTTATATTTAATATTTGTAAATCTGAGGGTAAAATTTGGGTTTTTAAAAATCCAGTTGGTTATTTACCTTTCTATTAAAGACGGTGATCTTAAAGCAAGAGAGTGCCTTGGCATTTAGGACATAGAAAACTCTAGCTCCTTCCTCCTTCCTCCCAAACATTTATAAATTTTATTTTATATGATATGTGTCTTACTGAAAAACTAAGTGAAAATTTGTTTTGTAGAAATCAAATAATATTTAAAATGTATCAAAGAACCTTGTGATAAAGGATTCTTAAAGTAAATCCTTTTTGTTTTCTAATCTAAAGCAATATGCACTAATTTATCTTTTGTAACTTGATTTCCATGTATCTTGTGTTATACAAAGAACTGCATGACTTTGAAGGATCTATGATACTGTCTTTGCTCAGACTACAGAAAACGAAGGACTGACTCTAGGTTTTGAGCTGGTATATACACACTACAGAGTGATCATTTTCAGTCAACTTCACTTACCGAATTTATCTGGATTAGTGAAAAAATAGTATCGAGATGAGTGCATAAAGTTGACCGTTACATGTTTTTTTTTTCTATTTCTTGGTTTAAACTTTTACCACTTATCATATCCTACAAGATCAAAATGACCCAAGTCCCTTTGGTCCAGACTATATTTACTGAACCAGAATCTGTAAACCTAATCTCTGATGCATATTAAGCTTTATAAAATATTGTTCAAATGAATTTACTTTTACCAAGTCATCCAACGGTTTTTACTCTAGTCTAAAATTAATAATTCTTGTGCTCTCCTAAGTCCATGTGAATCTGGTATTCTAAGCCTGACTGGAGGAATACGCACAAAGGACAACTATACATACACCGGTCAGGCTGTTTTCCGACAGACTGTGTTGTTTATATAGATTCTGCTTTCCATTAGCTCTTTCAACAGGAATATCTGAAAAGAGTCTTAAGTCAGCTGGGTTATTCACTTTGCTAACTTATTTGCTCCTACAGATAATAATATAACAGCTGAAAAGCTGGAGGTGGGGAGAGAGGATGTATCAGGCCACTGTGCTATCCTCATCTTATTCTCAAACCAATTTAAGAAGTAGATCTAACCACCCATTTACAAAAGAGGAAAATAAGGATCGTGGTAACTGAATAACTTGCCAAGGCTCCTACAGTAGAGTTGACAATTCAAATCTAGGTCA